CCGGCCCTGCTGTACCAAATATTAAAAATACTGCAAAGTCTATAATAATACAGTATATATTGGTGCACGTATGAAAAAAAGAAGAGAGAACAGGGAAAGGGAAGGGAGTAAAGGAGAAAAGAGAGGAGGAAGATAAAGACAAACCTAGAAATAGATCCTACTACACATAGAAATCTAACATGATAAAATTAGTATTGCAAATTGTTGGGGCAAACAATCTTTTAAATATATGGAATTGAAACAGCTCTATTTCTACGGAGTTCATTTGATATTGTAATGTGCCAAAAATAAAATAAGAACCATTCCTCATGTTACCCAGAAGAAAAAAAAAAGAAAGAAAAAGAAAAAGATTGTTCAGAGATCTAAAAGTAAAAATTGAGATGATATAAATACAAATACTAAAAGAAAAAAATGGAAGAATCTTTTTATAACCTAGAAGTAAGGAATGGTCTTCTAACCAAGCCTTAAAATCCATAAGCAATAGAAAAAATAATTTGATAAATTTGACCATGTTAATTAAAAAAAAATACATGGGGGAAAAACACCATGAGCAAAATGAAAAGACAAATAGTTAACTAAGAAAAATNGAAATATTCCTAAGTAAAAAAATCAAAGTACTAAAAAAGCGTATATAGCATACTACCTTTTATATAAGAAAAAAAGGAAAATAGAGAAAACATATCTGCTATGTCAAAAACAACAAAAATCCACAAAAAATAAAGGCCAGAAAACAATTTAGTAGATTACCTACAATGGGTGGTGATAGAAAAGGTATAGGGAAGGGGGTCTCTCTTCTCAGTGTATATATTCCAATACATTTTTGACTTATGGGAGCATGTCGATGTTTTACATATTCAAAAACATGAAATAAAATCTATAAAGATGAGAACAGTACAAGTCCTAAAACTGGAAGCAAACTAAAACAAATAAACACAGGCACTTCAAGTGAATATCATAAAAACACATAAGGGAGGAAAAGAACAAAATGAAAGAACAAATGCAGGTAAATAATGAACATAGTGTTTGATTATATGTAATGTTTGGGGTGGGGCAAATATAGAATTACAAAAAAAATGTCTGAACTACTTTTACTAAGTTTTTTTTAACAGCATAGGTTAAGCAATTCTGATGCTATTTCATAAGTACTGTAAAGATAGAGCAAACACATTATATAAATGTCTTGATATTGTTGATGTTAAGTCTGGTAAGATAGAGAAAAGAGAGAGAGACCCGAGTCAGGAGCCATTTCATCCAAAGGTTTATTCCACTAATGTGGAGGGGAGACTGAACCAGATCAGTTCCAGCAAACTAAGGAAAGCAGGGGATTTCTAAGACTTTTAGGGAGTGTTCAGACAGAGTAATGGGCAATTTTGAAATCAGTGGTATGCAAG